GAGCCGGTGAAAACGGGAGAGATAGAGGGAGAGAATACAGCGAGGAAGAGGGAACAGGGGGCAGAGGAGGGAGGGATGTAGCCGGCGTCCGCGTAATTAATGCGGCACGATTAAGCACGAAACGACTAGGTTCCGGCGGCGAATCGTGGTTGCGTTTTGTTTTAAAAGCCGCAAGTCGGATGTTTAGCTCCCTGCTGGGGGCAATCCTGCTCACCGTGGGGGGTCCTGGCACCCGACCCCCCACACCCCATCACCTTTAACTCTCCATACGCCTAGCAACGACTTTGCATGTTCCAGTGTGTCTGACCGATCGTTCGATTCACCCGCGGAACACACACGTTTCGTTCCTCTTCCTACCTTTTCTCGCCAGTTGCTTGCCTCTCTCTCTCTCTCTCTCTCTCTCTCTCTCTCTCTTCTCCTGTCCCACGATCGAACGAGCAATCTTTGTTGCGCAATCGTTCGACCGATTATTCCGTTTCTTCCCTTCTTAATTAACTGAGAATCAAGTTGAAAACAAACGATACGGTTACGCTTGTTTCGCTGGAACGATGAGAGAGAGAGAGAGGGAGGGAACAAAAAATGAGGGAAAGCGATTAACATGGTAGCCTACGATCCATAATCTCACCGGTCACAGAATGCCCTCCTCGTGTCGAACGATCGACCGAATCGATTCTCGAATCGCAAAGTCATCCCGAAATCTATGCAATGACGAGGCTGCGCATCATCACCGATTGTACTGGGTGTGTCTACACCTCCGAGCGGTTCTTTTGATTTCCTAGCCGCGAACGCAACAGTATACTCGTGTTGAAGTATCCGCCTAACGTGGAACGAGGTTCCGGGTTAATCGAGAATCTTGACGTAACGATCTCGTATTTCTCGACAAAATAATCTTAGAGGCTTGTGAAACTGTCTCCCTACCTCTATCTCTCTCTCTCTCTCTCTCCCGACAAATTACTTTCCAAAGTCTTTCGGTGAAATTGTTTTCTCTTTTTTTACTTTACGGTTACGAAGGAACGCGTACGAGGTGTACCCACTCGACTTGAATCGTCTTACCAGAAAACGTGCGGTTATTGAACTAGTTCGCCGGTCGTCATTACGTTCTGTCACGAGATATATGAGTGCAATTCGTTCGAGTGGAACCATTTGTCTCATTTCTGCGAGAACTTTTTGACGATTACACCGTGAAATCCGATATATACGCGGAGTTCGTGTTCGAAGCACGACACGAAATCGACCTAACAACCGAAAAGGAGACTGCGGAATTAAAGTCCATGAAAGAAACGAAGGAAAAAAGACTGGGGAGGGGACCTGACGAGGAGAAGGGGATTGCGAAGAGGGAAGACGAGGGAGGAGAGCTTCCGTTGAACTGATTAGAGCTCGAGTCTTCGAGGAACCTTCGCGATGGAATGCGCTCGAATGGCCGACGCATCACGAACGACGTTTGTTTCATTCGTAATTCTTCGTTAAACGTATATAATTCGTAGCTCTTTTTCCTTCGTCTTTGAAAAATCGAAGGTTAACGTCGAAATACGAAGCGGGAAAGAATGGTTCGTACCTCCTCTACCGAATCTCGTGGTACCGAAAGTTGGAATTTTCAAAAGTAGGCCAGAAGAATGCCAGCTAACGGTTTTACGATGGCCAATATTTCGTTAATTTTCGAGAACAGAACACAGAACGACTCAGGTAGGCGGACGAAGAAAGATGGGACGCGAGAGAAGGAACGAAAGAGAAAGGGACGAAACGGACGAAGATCGGTGCCTCTGCCTCGCAGCGATCTTCGGTTTCCTTTCCATCCTCGACAATAATAATACACCGCGAGTTTCCTGAAAAGGGGAGAATGCGTCACGTTAACCAGAATTCGCACTTCCACGGTTCCCCAACAACTTCCAGCGAACCAAGTATGTATACCTACTATTTGCTTTCCGACCCGGAATCGGATGAATTAGGTTTCCTGAAACCGGGCCGCAAATCGACCCTTCCTTTCCCCTCTTACACCCGACTTCCTTGAACGCAAAACTTCCTTGAACGAAACAACGAACGATTTTCCAAAAATAGACATAGGCAGCTAAGCTAATCCATTCCACCGATGAAAACTAGACAGACAGAAAAAGAAAGAAAAATAGGACGTAAGGAGGAGGAGGGGAAGAAGAAGAAGAAAAAGGAAGAGGGGAAAAACTAAAAATACACCGTTTGGTTACAGGTTTGGTTTCAGAATCGGCGCGCAAAGTGGCGGAAGCAGGAGAAGGTCGGGCCCCAGGCGCATCCGTACAATCCGTACTTGGGATCAGGTGCACCACCACCATCGGCGGTCGTCGCGCCGACCTTGCCGAACCCTTTCGCCCACCTGGGCACGTTTGCCCTGCGGAAACCCTTCGACGCGTTTCGTTACCCACCTCTGGGTCACGGACCGGTCCTTCCCGGTAGTTACACCGCTCATCCCTATCATCGCGCGCCGCCACCTCTGCTACCACCTGGAATGCCTCTGCCTTACACGTCCGCCAGCACCCGCGCCCGCGCCCGCAACCTTACCGCATCCCCCGGTTCAGCCACCTCCGCCAGCCGCCAGTTCACCCCAGGGTTCGCCCACTGGCAGCGTTGGCCTACCCGACATCGACAGACGGACCAACAGCATCGCCTCCCTCAGACTCAAGGCCAGGGAGTACGAGCTTCACCTCGAGATGCTACGCAAAAACGGAGATCTCATCAGCTGAAGAGGTTCGACTCCATCCTAGAAACAGATTGTCGCTCTATTTGCCAGTGCCTCTTTCCATTTCGCCGTTCTTTAGCAGCGATCGATCGTTGATCTCTCCCTGTTCGATCGAAATACCCATCTATTTCCACTCTGACGGAGAGCTAGCGGAATCGAGATATAAAGGAAAACGATAATCTATAAGCCGATGACAGCTCGAAACTCAACAAGGCTCGGTATGTTGGCATCGCTGATGAAACAAGTGCGGGCAGAGGGGTAATTACTTTTTTTCGTTGTTACACAGAGACCGATACCAACTGCGTTCGCGTTCGCGTTACGCCCGCACTTCTTTCTTATCCACGTATCGTACAAGATACGAGCCAAAGAACTCATTTCAAAGTGGCCGAGCACTTATTATTAGTACCATTAATTTGCGTGTACGCGAAGGAAGGTTGAACGATAGTTGTCCTTCTTTCTGTGATCACTGTGCCTTCGTTACGTAATCTAATCTTCGATGAACGCTGATTTCGATGCTTTCGAATTACACGCCTGCGACGATCTTTCGGTTCTACTTGAAACGAACTGAGCAAAATCGTCGGCATCTGTGGAATTCGAAAAGTGAACGCGAAACTTTTTTGGCAAAACGCGCTCTGCTCGAAAGATTTCTATGCGATACACAGACTCGTGATTCGACGATACCAACGATTCGCCGTGTGTCGCGTCCGCGTTGGCAACTCGAACGATCATTTGGAAAACTCGAGCTTCGGGTTTTTTCACGGTCGTTAGAATTGCCGTGCGTTTTTCCCGCGGATGGTGACCCCATGAATCACTCGGCAGACAGTTTTTACAGCGTCGTTCGTTAAAGAGAAGAACGATATACCTGTCCATGTACAAACGAGTTTCTTCAACCTTCCTTCCCCTTAATATCATTCACAATGTCAACTTTATGTTCAAACGATTACGAAGAAATGGGAAGAATCAAGCGAAAATGCTTCTTCGTGTACAATACTGTATATAATTTACAGTACTGCGGTCGAGCGACCATTCGAATAATACGTTATACAATATTTCCGTGAAATATTCGGAGTGTCTTTCAAATTTATCCTCTTGAGCGGCCCGTGAAAATTCACGAAACGTTTCCTGCGAATATAGATTTTGTCAAATTGACCGGGTACCTCTAAACGAAATTATAATTCGCCGTGAAACACGTGACGAGGTCATTCTGAATTTTCGTGGAACATTACAAACGTACGGTGAACGTGGGTTCGATAAGTTTGAAGAACAATCCGCGATACGAACGTGGTCGCTCGCCGCGTCTTGACGAATCGAGAACGTCTAATTCTAAAGTAACAGTTAAGCAAGCATCATCGAAAGATGTCCGTCCAGAGAAATAATATTCCTGGCATCGTGACGAGAAAGTCACTATCGAGTATATTGTTTTTTATTCCTGCAGGATTTTTTATCGACAGAGAAAATGGAAAAAAAGAACGAAACGACATGAAAGGTAATTAAGTTAATTGGGGTGAAATGTTGACGTTATGCATAAAATGTGAATCGAATTCGAAAAGCTTTTATTAAAATGAGAGAAATTTCTTCGGTGGTCGCGACCAAGTTTATACGATAGATAGAGTCGTTCGAAGACAGCGCGTAATTTCTTTACTTTTACACGAAATCGTCGTACGCATTTTAGATAAGTATAAAAAAAATACTATTTATATACGCGTTCTCTTTAAGTTTTGAATGTTCAACGATATTACCATAAGTTTTACGACTGTATAAGCATTCCTAGAGTCTAAAAGTTAAGCCTTGTAAATAATTAACGACGTGTGCGTCACTTTGTGAAGAGATCTTGCAAGTACCTACTTCCCCGATTGCGCATCACTCCCGACAATATCGCGTTTCTTTTCTTTTCGAAATATCCCTCGCTGTTCAGGTGAAACAACGCTGCACATAATTCGCGCGATACGATTACGAAAAAAGGAACGTTACACGATCTCTGAAACGTTAGCGTAAGGAATGATTGAAGCTGTAACCAGGAATTACCGATCTAATCGAGGATCTCGAACAAAACGAAGAGAATGCAACGTCGTCGAACGATTTCTCGTTTCATTTTCCACGAGTAAAACGAACATTGGTGTCCATTGTATGTAATTTCATTAACCCCTTTTTACCTTCCTTCTTTCTTTCTTTCTTTTCTTTTTTTTTTATTCCGACCAATGAATCACCGCCAGACGAGAGAAAAAGAAAGTGAGAAAGAGGTGAACCGGCGGGAGGAGGAAGAGGTTCTTTATTCTACGAAACCTCTTTCGATCTATTATCCGACGATTAAAAACAGGATACATGGGAGAAATATTAATTTATAGGCTCGTCAACTTCCCGGAGAAAAAGCATGCTATTACCTTGCACATACATTATAACTCTGCCGAGGAGTTTTCAAGAGGTTCCATGTCCTGCACGACTGACTTATGACAAGTAATTCGCGCCCGGGCACGCCCGTCGACGAGTTATTTAAATATTTTACAGTTTAATGGAGTCTCGAGCCATTAATGCGCGTTGGCTAATTAGCGGCGCCGTGAATACCCGCGTGCCACTTCTCGGTGCTAACGATCTCGAGGTTGATAAATCGAACGATTACCGACAAAACGGTCCGCCGATCAAAATTGACTTCTCCGATCGAACTCGCAAGGTTAGGTTAAGTAACACTATCGTACAAGCTCCGGTGAACTCGAATGGACGCGAGTGTTTCAACGACACCTTCGCTACACTTTGCAACACACCATCGACTACCTTACGATCTAATTTCCTCGACGTATTAGCTGCCGCGATGCCGTTACAGATAACACCACCTTTCTGTTTCAATCTACGCGCCCCCTCTCGCTCCTTTACCTACTTCCAATCGAAATAAATTGCCAGGGGGCGATTTTCCAAGGACGGGCAAACACCGACCGCATTTCACTCCGTTTCTCACGTGGTAATTAATGAAAGTTTCCGCGAAGAAGAGTGGACTTGGATAACGGCGGCTGGACCCTATACCATATGTACCTCTGGCAAGAGGCGAAGGAGGGGTGAAGACGCAGAGGCGTGTCTCGGTTGGTGATCGAGGTTCCCGTGTGATCGAGATGCAGACCACGCAGCCACTCGATCCCGAATTCATCGTGTTGGCCTGGCCATTAGCAAATTACTACGGTGTAAACAGTATCGACCTGGTGCCCGCGGATACGCCGCGACTAAGTGCACCGGTCTGCGCATGCATACATGTACGTGGATGTTTATATATCGCGGTGGTTAGTGGAGAAAGCCAGTTAGTTAGTAACCGATCATTATGGCGACGTTTTACACCGGCTCTAGCCACCTAATAACTGTCTACATCGGAATGAATTTAGCGATCGGTAGCAACCGGCTTTCAAACCGGCCTACGTTCGCCGAAAAAAGACGCGTCAGACGTTCGAGAAGAATGTGCTCTCGAAGCGGTGATTCGTTCGATAGCAATTTCCAAGATTCTATTAGGGATACACGTAGCCAACGCTACGTGTATGTGTACCACATGGAAAGGGAATCCTATCGGCGCGTAACAATGTACTTTCTCAGGATAGGCTTTTCAATTCGATCAGCCGTGTAAAGCGCGAGCTTCTTAAGCTTGGTGCATCGAACGAGGAGTGATAGTTGGTTCGCAGGGTATAAAGGACATTCCTTTCGGAGAGAATTAGGAGCCGGGTGACTCTCCCCTTCTTCTAAACGCTCCTCGTTTCTTTCCCGCGTCTCCTCACGCGCAGCACGCGTAAGGTTTTATCCAGTTAACAATCCCTAATTGCAGGGTTTCCTGTAACTAACTCGGTTAACGTGAAGGCCCCCACGATGATTCTCCAGCGTTACCTATCATCGCGATGGATGCAGATTAAACAGCCCCTTAATCTTCGGCCTCTGCAACTTCGCTTAAACTTTCCAGACCTCCCTTGTGCGTTCCCTTATATGTACTTTGTTTAATAGGGCATAACGATAGGGAAACTGGACGGTTTACGACAGAATCGTGCTGCCATACTCGACCGTTATACTCGTCTCCACTTCGAAACCAATCGACCGTAAACGTTTCGTCTCCAATTATGTCTCCGATCTCGTAATTCGATTAGCTGTAAAGTGTCAAACTTCTCGTTACGCGTTGTTATGATTGAATAAAGTACAGCATCGTTCATCTTGAACACTTTTCGAGATAAGAACCGAGAGAAATATCAGAGGCATAGGAGAAGAGGGGGAGAAAACGAGAAGGGGGATAGGTGGGTACATAGGTGCACGAGAAAAAGAAAGGGACGAAGGAGGAAGACGGCGACGAAATCGACGGTGGATGAAGAGAAGGGAGGAGACGAGGCGAGACTCTGAGATGAGGGATGTACGGCGTGACGGTCTAATTGAGGCCTTCTTGATTGCATTTACACCGCTGCACGGCCTCCTGTATCCCAGGTATCCAGTATCAGTCTTCTGTAGTGGATCCACGTCGTATTTGGCCCTTGCTGCTCTTGCTTCCTTCTCTCTTTCATTCCTCCCTTCCCCTTTCACTCCAGTTCATCTCTTTGCTTTTCCCTCCGTATAGTATACCCTCTTTCTCGTCTTCGCCTATTTTCACCCGAGCAATATCCCCGCTACACTTTCATGCGAGTACTATATATGCAGGTACGTGTGTATATTACACGTAGTGTGTAAATTTTCTCGTTAACGTGGACGCATCGCACGGGGAAAAGGAGAACAAATACACGGAGAAGCGGATAATTTATTCATCGGCAACCATCCCGACGTTATCTCCGCATCTCTCTCCCGTTCGTTCTCCGTATTCTTTGTTCTTTCACCGAATAATCTGCTCTTCGGTAACATCGATCATCGATTAAACGAGCTGGTCAGGTTCGACGACACACCGAACGATAACGATATTGAACGGGGAGAACGCGTAACCGGTTGTTTAAAAGTTCCCTACGAAACTGCGGAAAAAATCTGTGGTTTGGCGAATAATTTAGCATAATCCTCTCGCAATCG